CATCAAGACATATCCTCCCATGAGCCTTCCTGGAACCTCCCCTGCAGTGAATTTCTCAGCTTCCATCACACCCTAACGGTCTAGAGAGTAGCACTGTTAGGTCCAGGCAAGAGGACCCCTAACTTGGGCTTGGGGCTTTAAAGAGCCCAGAATCCATAAGACTACAGGACTGAGGTTAGTATCTCTGACTGGAGCCTAAACCCTTCTTTCTAGATTATGCTCTGGGACCCAGAATCTTCTGCTCCAAATGGCCACACAACCACTTTCAGGGCCTTAGGCCTTTTTCCTGGACCCATCTTCTCAAGGGCAGACCACATGACAGACCACGGCCAAAGGCCAAAGGCCAGCTGTAGTATTTGCACATATTTTCATGGTCCTTCAAGATGTGGGACAAGGGGGAGTGGGAAGAAAGGGGGAGTAGCCTGTGACCAGGGCCAGTCCCCTACTTTGCTTTGTTGGGTCACTGTGCTTATAGCACTGGGCTTAGGCATAATTCTCAGGTCATTGCACAGATTTCTCCAGCTGAATATATCGTGCTCGTGTTAATGTGGGATTGGGACCACTCTGGATTAGAAATATGTTTCACTGTAAAGTAGCACACAAAATGAACAGAAAGGGAAAGCGTTAATAAGATTACTAACAAGAGGGTGGATGAGCCCTATGAGATATAATTTCAGTCGGTTCTCATAACAACCTTGGGGGGTTTTATTGTGCCGCTTTAAAAATTAGGAAGTCTAGGCTTGGAAAAGCTGGGTTTTGCCCCTGGTTTTATAGGAGGGCAGGGACAGCATCTTCATGACTCTACAGGCTACTCTGTCTTCACCCCACCTCTCCAGGGATCTAATTCAACACCTTCTGGGACATTCACCTCAACTAGTCTTTAAAGGAAACCCACAGATGGATAGTTCCCTGTATGTCTGTCTATGGCTACCCAAGAAAAATTGGTTCCAAGAGTTAGTGTCACAAATATTGATGTTCGCTACCTGGCAGTGTGTAGGAACCAAGCTACAAAAAAAAAAAGAGTTCTCAGCCTTGGCTCCAACTAGTTAGCCCACGGGGGAAAGGAGGGGTTGCATGCTTGTTTGTTGGGGGCTGGAGGACTGGGAGTTCCAAAGACCTTGTTACATTCTAACCTTGCAGAGCTGAGCAATTTGGGGTTGCTTTTCTTGCTGATAACACTGTTTCCCTTAACTACCAGATCTTAATAGAAAGCTCGCCTTCATGGTATAAGGTTAATGAATATGAAATCAAACGATAATAATATCTGTCTGGTGGATGGGATTTCTAAAGAACATATGTTATATACATATTTGAGGACAAGATGTAAGAGTTAGGGAATTAAAGTCCAGCTCTCCCTACCTGAGGGAACTGACTCCCAGAGACAGCAAGTGACTTCGTTACTTAATTAGAGTGAACCCAGATTTCCTGTATCCTTATCCACTATGTTTCTTCTACAACCTAAAATTCAGTTTATGGATGAACAAGCCATTTTTGTATATTTTTAAAAATAATATTAAAGTCAAATCAAACAATATTAAAGTCTAATCAAATGTGATAGATGTAGGTACTACCCTGAGAGATGTGGGAGGTGAGCGGCATTGTGTATACGAGAAAAGGAAATCTAAATATTAGGTCTTTAATGAAGTAGTGCTCCCTGATCTTTCCATGGACATTACTCCAAGACATTAGAGGTATATTGCTATAAAAGGGCCTCCCAAACATCTCCTTGGAAAAAAACAATATTAACAAACTTTTGTTCAGGGGAGAGAATTCCAATGCAAACCATTGGTCAAAGTTCTCTCTTTGTTACTAGTAAATACTTTTAAGAACAGTATTTTGTCTAAATCAATAAAGATGAAAGAGGATGATGTAGGAGGTGGGAATCAGAGTGGAGAAAATTCTAGTATTTTCCTAATATTCCAAAAACACATATGGCTTTATTCAATTGCAAGGTAAACAGAACATGGAATTTACCAGAAAAAAAAGTAAATAAAAGTGGTGATGTCAGCTTTTCATATGCCAAGTATTATGAATCAACGAGAATTAAAAGAGAAGTAACAGAAGTAACATTCCCTTAAAAAATACATTTTCTTATAAAAACTGGAAGAGAATTTGTGGCACTTTACCAACACTAAACTGTGTAAGAAACTACAGCGGGACTATAATGCTTTTTTAATTCCATTTGTCTAAAGAAATGAGAGATGGATCATATTTAATAAAGGTTGATGTGCTCACATTATCTTCCTGGAATCATAATTTTATTGCAATCAGATTTATTAAATGTTATCTGATTTTACTCTCATCTTAAAACATCTGCAAATGATATAATTTACCTGCGTATTTGGCATAACAACATGCTCTTCTTGATTTTTAACAGAACCTAGTTCCAGTGTTAATTGAATAAAGCTGTTCAAATGTAACTTTTTTTTTTTTAAGATTTTATTTATTTATCTGACAGAGAGAGACAGCGAGAGAGGGAACACAAGCAGGGGGAGTGGGAGAGGGAGAAGCAGGCTTCCCGCCGAGCAGGGAGCCCGATGCGGGGCTCGATCCCAGGACCCAGGGACCATGACCTGAGCCGAAGGCAGACGCTTAACGACTGAGCCACCCAGGTGCCCCCAAATGTAACTTTTAGGTCATGTCTTTGAACACACTATACATGCAATAGTATCTGTCCGGCAAGTGTCAATTTTTCTTTATTTAAAAAAAAATCATATCATTTAAATAAGTTATTTACTATAAATAAAAGTTACACACAAACACATACCCATACACATATCTTTTTAAAGTAAAGCGAGAACTTAATCCACCCAAGACAAGCGGGAGCAGGAAAAAAAAAAAAATTAAAAAATACGGCTGTGCGCATTCTGCCTGTTGCCGCAGAGTAATACGGTAAACAGCCGATTACCGTACTCGCTGGGGCTACTGCCTGTGTGACGTCAGCGAGAGCTAGCTGCAAAGTTCCTTGCCATTCTTTGCTGATGTCGGGGAGCTTGAATATTTAAAAGGTGAATGTGGAATTCTTGGTTGGCTGTTGGGTTTTTTTTTTTTTTTCTCTTTTCCTATTTTCACTATTTTAAATTCTGCAGGTAAAGCGATAGTGAGCTGGGAGCTTAAAGACATCTGTGGTGGAGGGGTGAGTCAGCGGGTGCAGAAGAACTAAGAACTGGTTCCTCGGTGAGACGGTCGCCTCTTCCCCCAGAGAGAGGCGGCAGGGCTGCTCGTGGGACCGAACTCCCGGTCCGCTCCCCGCTCCAGGTGAGTGTGCGGCGGCGCGGGACGCGGGCGTCCAGCAGGGCCGGGTGGGTGAAGGCACATCTCCCTTGCTTCCCCGTGAGCCGGAACCCGCACTTTCCCTAAGCGCCCCCCGCTTTCTTCACCCGCTGTGACACCAGCATTCCCACCCCACCCTGTTTCCCTTACATATTCTAGAAAGTTACCTCCTAGTTAACAAGTGTGTTTTTCTGCCCGTATTTATCGCGCCGTGGTAAAGAGGCTTTCTGCAGTTGCTTGCTTTTAGTACCACCTGTGAGCTCTTGAACTTGTGATTTTTCACAAGAGCCTCTGCCCCTAGGGTCCCGCCTCAGGGCCCCGACCCCAGCCAGAGTCCGTAGAAGGCAAGATGGGTCCCCAGTCCTCGCATTCCTGCCTGAGTCCCTGTGGTCGGCTCGCGGCCGTGGAAACCTGTTTCTCACACAGACCATGGCCCCCAGCGCAGAAAACCAAAGCGTCCCCCTTTCCGCTTGATGTTTTAAGCCCACCAAAGCCGCAGTGACCGCCACTTGCAAAGCCCCTTCTGCAGAGTAGCGCTTGCCCTCCCCACCACTTCGCCTGCACCCGCGCAGCCCGTCCGGGTGTGGCTCGAGGCTCAAGTCCTCCGACACCACCGATCCTGCGGCTTGAAAAGGGCTCCTGGACCGACCTGGGTCGCGTTCAGCCCTCGCGCCCCGCCAGGCTTTGCTCGGGACCTGGCTCTCGAGCCGGCTCGGCTGGTCGACAGACCGGCGCGCACCGCACACCCGAGTGTGAATTCCTCCGGCGTGAACGTGCGCGTGGCACGGGCTCGCCTGCGGTCCCCGGGTCGCTGCGGTTCCCTCTCCCAGGCCGCCCCCTCCAGGTGGCTGCGAGGCAACCTGTTCAAATGGCAACCGCCGGTTTTCACCGACTCGGCTCTGCGCTACACACACAAACGCACACACCAGCCGCAGTCCCGCCTAGCGAGCTTCGCGGGGTTTAATTTCGCTGTGCGGCCGCGCGTAATTGGCCGCCGCAGCTTGGGGTTTGTTTGCTTCGGATCTTGGAGCGGGCCAGCGGGCGCGGGCCGCGCGCCAGGGCAGGTTCCCAGCGGCGGGGAGCCGGGCGCGCGGTCCCCTCGCGCGCCGCCTGGGCTGCGGCAGGGCACGCCGCTCCGGGACCGCAGAGTCGGCGGGGCTCCCAGCCGCCGCCCACGGTCCGTCGAGCCGGGTTTGGCCTCGCTCCCCGGGGCGCCTGCTATACACTCCGCCTTTCTCTTTGCGCTCTTTCAGGAGGACGCGGGCAAACAACGCCCCGCAGCCGCCTCGGTCCTGGCCAACGTTTTATCCACTTACCCCGGTCTGCGCGCGGAGAAGCTGGATCTATACCACGAGTCCACCGCGGGCCACTCACCCTGTGGGTAACTGCGGGCCGGCAGAAGCGCCCAGATGCCAGCGGTCCCCGCCTTTGAGAGTCGACGGCAAACCGGTACTTGACTGTGGTTTGCGGGGAGACTGGCGCTGCACTGTTGAATTCCCAATTACGTGCAGAATGCTGAATCTTCTAAGCAGGACGGATCAGACAGTACGCAGAAGCGGGCCCCTGTAATTCTGCGACTGCGTTTTGCAACGCGCCTCCTCGAGCGTCGCGGCAAGCCTCGGGTAGGAAGGGAGTTGGGGCCGGAGGCCAGCGCAAAGGGTGGATAGGGTCCGCGGGTAGCCCCGCGCGCCCCTGGCCATGTCGCCTTTAACGCCCTGCCCCTTTGCGTGGCCTTCTGAGGGTTTGCACGGCAGGCCGGGGTTGCTTCCCACCCGCGCGCTCTCTCTCACCCCCAGCTAACCCCAGCGGGCAAGGCTCCCCCGAGCCGAGACCTTTTGACTCTGCTCCCTCGCTTCCGCCTCCGCCCTCGCCCGGGGGTGGCTCTCGAGAGCCGGACCTCGCCGGCCCTGGCTGGGACCATGGTGTTTCTCTCTGGAAATGCCTCCGACAGTTCCAACTGCACCCACCCGCCCGCACCGGTGAACATATCCAAGGCCATTCTGCTCGGGGTGATCTTGGGGGGCCTCATCATTTTCGGTGTGCTGGGCAACATCCTCGTGATCCTCTCCGTGGCCTGCCACCGGCATCTGCACTCGGTCACTCACTACTACATCGTCAACCTGGCGGTGGCCGACCTCCTACTCACCTCCACCGTGCTGCCCTTCTCAGCTATCTTCGAGATCCTGGGCTACTGGGCCTTTGGCAGGGTCTTCTGCAATATCTGGGCGGCGGTGGACGTCCTGTGCTGCACCGCGTCCATCATGGGACTCTGCATCATCTCCATCGACCGCTATATAGGTGTGAGCTACCCACTGCGCTACCCCACCATCGTCACCCAGAAGAGGGGTCTCATGGCTCTGCTCTGTGTCTGGGCGCTCTCCCTCGTCATCTCCATCGGGCCTCTCTTTGGCTGGAGGCAGCCGGCCCCGGAGGACGAGACCATCTGCCAGATCACCGAGGAGCCCGGCTACGTGCTCTTCTCGGCGCTGGGCTCCTTCTACGTGCCATTGACCATCATCCTGGTCATGTACTGCCGGGTCTATGTGGTGGCCAAGAGGGAAAGCAGGGGCCTCAAGTCTGGCCTCAAGACCGACAAGTCGGACTCGGAGCAGGTGACGCTCCGCATCCATCGGAAAAATGTCCCCGTAGGAGGCACCGGGGTGTCCAGCGCCAAGAACAAGACGCACTTCTCCGTGAGGCTCCTCAAGTTTTCCCGGGAGAAGAAAGCGGCCAAAACACTGGGCATCGTGGTCGGCTGCTTCGTCCTCTGCTGGCTGCCTTTTTTCTTGGTGATGCCCATTGGTAAGTCTTTGAACACCCGACCTTGGTATTTAGGGATCTTCATCCTGTTCCCCTGTGCTACCCCAGACTCACAGCCGGGGGGGGGGGGGGGGGGGGAGGGGCGGCGTGCGGGGGAAAGAAAAAGGATCTGCATTTCAAACAGCAAAGCGGCGGCGGGGGCGGGGCAGTTAGGAAAATGCTCCTTTATAGAAGAGTGAATTTTAGTTTCCTTTCTTCTCCCAGTCTCATTTATATTATTATGTCCTAGGGCACTTTTTCAACTACTGTAAAGTGGCTTCCAGCAGATTAATTGGTCTCCTTAATAAGAACGTCAACTTTTCTTAATGCCGTTAAGCATGTGTTTAATTTAAATAGATCCCTCTTCTTTGGAGTCTCAGAGTCTCCAGCACACACTCCGGCAGGGGCTGTGGAATGCCACTTTTCACCTCTGCTGCTATGGATTGCAAATTCTCTTGGCCTAAAAATAAGCACCATACTTATTCTGAACAAATGTGTAATTTTATTATTAGATTAGATTATTCCTAAGGGTTAGTCATAATGGTCTGCTTATGTTCTATATCTGTGTTAATTTTATTTTCTGGATTCAGTATGGAAGAAAGTGTGGCCAGCCACTGACAAGAAAAAAAAAAAAGATGAGTTTATGTCCAAACGAATTTAAGCTTTAAAGAATTCAACATAATGTTTCCAATAAGTGATACTTTCCCCTTTATTTTAATAGTATTAAAACAAACAGTACTCTTATCCAAGATCATTCTGGAAGTTGCAGATGACACTGAAAATAATACAGTAATGTTACAAATCCAACTTTTGCAAATGCCATATTAGCTATTGTCAAAGCTAAGTAGCTCATTGTAAGTATTAGCAAGCTGATCCACTTGGAATAGTCATCTATCTCTGAAAGGCTTTCAGGAGATCCCAAAATGGTTGTTTGCTATTTTTAGTTTGTGAGCTCAAATATAGACCCACACATTTGTTGTCCACTAACTCTAGCAAACAAAAAAATTTATGATAAAAATTAATAAAAGTCCGTTTCAGGCACTTTAGAGTCAAATTTAAGTGGCATGCATTTAAAGTACTTTAATTTGCAACTCTGTGTCATAATAGCAGCTGGTCGTTTTTGAGGGCTAACTCCAAACTTCATTTGTCCGGGCTCTTTATTTCATTCATCCTCTCCACAACTCAGTGAGGAATGCATTATTATGCTGAAATCCCAAACTGGGGTGGGGATAGATTCTGCAGGTTCTAGAGCTTCGCTGATACCATAGCCACCAGCCACATGTGGCTATTTAATGCAAATTAAAATTAAAGATAATTAATATCCAGTCCCTCATTCCCACTAGCCAAAGTTCAGGTGCTCAGTAACCACACATGGCCAGTGGCTACTGTTGGGGACAGCAGAGATATTGAGCATTTTCATCGTTGCAGAAATTTCTATCTAACGGGGCTGCTTGAGAGGCCCTCTGAGTCCACTAGCTGGCTTTCGATTGTGCCTGCCCATCGTTATTTGCTGACTCTGTCCCTGGAAGTACATCACAGCTTGGAATTTATTTAAATAACACTCTGCCTGAACCACCGCTTCCCTACCTTTCTGTGTCCCATCTCTTACTTCCTCCTGAAGCTTATTCGTGCATCCATGCCCTCATCAAGTATATATGAAGCACTTGTTCTAAGCATATAGTTTGAACAAGGCAACAAACTCTTTACCAGTAAAATGTTTGCATTCTTTTAGAGGAAATGGACAAACAAATATATCTTTAGGGGAAATGGACAAACAAATATATATCTATATCAAGGATTACTAAGTATTATTTAAAAAGGAAACAGGATAAGAGGATGAAGATTTGCAGGGCAGTGGGGTGGGTGCTCAGAGGAGTCCTCTCTGAAGAGGTGATATTGGAGCAGACTGAACTGAAGTGAGGAGCAAATGTTGCCAAGTCCGGAAGGGCCTTTTGGGTAGAGGGACGGGAAGTCCAGAGATGGGAAATAGCCTGACCTGTTCAAGGCAGAGCAAAGAGGCCAGAGTGGCTGAACTACAGAGAATGCATAGGCAGACAAGTTCAAAAACTGGTTGTGGAGACAGACTAGGTCAGAGTGATGTGGGTCTTTTAGGCCCAAGTAGAATTTGCATATTATTCCAATTGCCATGGGAAGCCATCCAGACAGGTTTTAGGAGGGGAGTGGCTGGTTTTATATTTTTAAAGGATCACTCTGGTTGCTGGGTGGAGTGTGGGCTGTTTGGGGGGATGACTGTGGAAGCAGGGAAACCAGTTGGGAGGCTATTAGAGCAGCCAAGGGTGGAAAGGTCGTGATGCCTAGCGCTTGGGTGAAACAGGTGGGGGTGGTGAGAAGTGATCACATTCAGCACTTATTTCACAGGTGGAACTGACAAGTTTGGACATAGGGTATGAGAAAAAAAGAGCGGAATTAAAGATAACTTCTGGGTCTGGGCCCTAAGTCCCTGGGCAAAGAGTAGTGCATTTGGCTGAGACTGGGAAAACTAGAGAATGATGGAGTTGTTAGGGGCTGGCAGGAACAGAAGCACACGTGTTTATTTTGTGTAGCCACGCTGAGTAGTGTCTATTCAACATCTAAGTAGAGATGCCAAGTGGCAGGTAGATACATGAGTTCGGAGCTGCAAGGGGCCGCTGGGCTACCGTGTAAACTGGGGACACATCAACATATTCAAAGCCACAGAAGTGGACGGATCTACAAGGGAGGACATACGGAGAGAAAAGAGAGATAAGAACTGAACCTGGGGCATTCTGGTATTCGAGGGCCGGGGAGAGGAGGAGAACCAACTAGCAGAAGAAGTTGAGAAGGAGCGACGAGGGAGGAAGGAGGAAAACCAGGAGACTGCGTTGTTCCCAAAGCCAAATGGAAATGTCTCGAGAAGGCAAGAGTATCCAGCTGTGTCACAGGCAACTGCTTGGCCAAGTCAGAGGATGGCTGGGAATCAACATTGGACTTGGCCATGTGGAGGTCCTTGGTGATATGAGGATGCCCGTTAAGGATAATAGTCTCATGGAATGAGGGAGACAAAAGCCTGACTGTGTGCTCCCTAGAAAGAATAAAAGATGAAGAAGTGGGAACAGTGAAAAGAGACAAGTCTTGGGAAAGGTTTTCCTAGACAGTGGAGCAGGGAAATAGAGGAGAGCCGGAAGGATCTAGAGAGAATTTCCAAAAGTGGGAGATAGGATACCACGTTTATATTCTGAGGGAATGATGGAATAGAGTTGCTGACGGTATAGGCCAGGGAGGAGGTGGGATTCAGTGCCCAAGTGGAGTGTTGGGAAGTGAGGGAGAAGCCAGGGACTATAAGCACAGAGGCAAGCAGATCCGGAGAGGAGAGGCAATCAGTTCTTCAGAATATATTTATGCCCTTGACCTAATGAAAAGCAAGATCATCAGCTACAAGTGAGGAAGGAATAGGAAATGATGTTGGTTTGATGAACAAAAGATGTGAAATACTAATCTTTGAGGCGAGAAAGTAAATAGTTTATGGAAATTTAGTGGAGTCACCAGAAAGTCCTAAGGACATATTTGAGATTTATAGTCATAAGTTGAAAGCAAGACCTGTCAAGAAGGTTGTGTGTTACTCTCTAATAGCTAAGAGGCTGAGGATTATGGGGAATGTTGCTGATGATTGACCATATCTAGGAACCACAGTAAAGACATATTTATGCAGGGACATAAACTGGAACATATTAGGAGTCATACAGATTCAGATAGTAGACAAAAGGGAACTCTGGTCTAACCAGGGCCTACCTCTTGTATCTGCTCTCCTGGGGAATTATTAACATTGAGGTAAAAGGTTACAGTGGCAGGAAGTCATGGTAAGACAGGAGCACCCAGAATCACTGGGTCTCCTTTAAATCCTAATAATGCAGTGCAGCAGGAGGGAAATTGAAAATGTACAGTTGGCAGTCTGACCAGGCTGCTCGGTCGGCAAAAGGTCCCCCAACGTACCAGGATCTGTGTTCCACAGTTTCTTCATGCCACCAAGTGAGCAAGAGACTATTTCTTCCAGGATTTATAGACTGTGTAGTAAGTACCAGGCACTGAGTTAGAACAAAAAGATGAATAAAGCACATTCCCTGCCCTCAAGGGCATCACAGTCTAGTTAAGGAAACAAATTAGGAACAATTATCACAAGTCTGTGAAGTGGTATTAGAAGTGCGAAGGAATATCACAGTTAACTGTGTCTGGGGGGCACTGTGGAAACTTCTAGATGTACCACTGTTGACTGAGCAGGGACTTGAAGCCTGCACTGCTTCTGCTGGGCCATCAGTGAGATGTTACCTGTTTTTAGTAACTGTCTTAAGTACATTTTTCGTGCAAAGTGTGAACAGGAAGAATAAATAGGCCATTAGATTATCATACACAATGGACACAAGCTCTTAAGTATAACAAGTACTTCCTGGGAAGAAGAGATTATCAGTCTGAGCTAGGCTGTCAGAGAACAGCAGGATTAGAAACTAAGCCAGGCAGGGATGTGTGCGGTATACAAAGCTGAGAAGAAAGCGCCCACACGTGTAGGAACCGGCCCAGGATGGTGAGTGAGCACTCTTTCATGGCCGAAGGCTGCCCTTCTACCCTGTGAGAGGGCTCCTCATCGCCTCCACACTTCCTTCCTCCCCAGCTCCTCCCATCAAGGCCAGGTTGGTTGCTGGACTCGACCGAATAGTGTGATTGCTGGTAGAAATCGGACTTGCCCACCCTCAAGTCTTGTTTTCTTTTTGCATCCTCAATGTTTGGCTGAAAGTCAGAACCCCTTGTAGGGAGGGGTGTCACCTCTGAGGCTGTTATCAGTCATTGATACCTTGGAGTGAATGTTTGGAAAAGCCAGGTTTTGATCATGGAGATGAATAGGGAGAATAGGAAGGTGAAAGAAGGAAGGGTGAAAAACGTGGCTCGCGGGGAGCTCCAGCGCCTAAAGCGTGTACATCATCTTTGCTTATTTTATCCCTTGGTCTAGAGCCTGCCAGTTCCAGAGTCATTGG